CGGCCCCCTTGCTCACTGGTCCATGGGGGTCTCATCATCAGAGAAGCGGTCGTCATACCGTCCGCTGCTCAGCAGAGCTCGGGTGGTACTGTACAGCGGCGGCGAGAATATAACCAACCACGAGAGCACTGCACAAAAAAGAGGCAAAAAAAAGAAACCCTTCCTGTTTCGTATCGCGCGAACGGCTGATCTCCAACGCGCTCACCACCGCCACGATACAGTATAACCCTTGCCTGGAGCAGTTTTCCAGCATGGCAAAGAAGTTTCTCCCGTTTTCTCTGCTTTCAACGTGTTTGAGTAAAACCAAGCCATGGTGTATCCATAAGTTATGCTAGTCTAGGATTAATCCAAACTGCAAGTAAACCAGGACTTCATTTTCACCACAAGTCTTCGCTGAGAGAGTTTCACTAGCAAACACTTAAATCTGAATTCAGCCACTTTCCCCTATCGGTTGACTACCATTGGACGTACAAAAAATTACTCTATTCTTAGCGGTGGGTAACTAAGGTTTGTTATGTTCACCAGAACAGACCATAACATATATCCACGACGCTCACATTTTTCATCTTTCTATAAAGCTCATGTGCTACTGTACCCTGCGCCTTCTGAGGCCCTCCGCGAATTCGTGAGATGAGTACTTATTACTCGGCCTCCTTAAAATGACGTGTAATTTGCACACGGTGACAGCGACTGCTTTTAAAATGACCACACTTCTGTGAAGTAATTTTTATGTGAATGTCTGCATTTTTCCTTGAAAAGTTTCATTTTTTTCATTACTTTTTGACAACACTTTCATTTTTTTGAAAAAAAATCTGTAAAAGTTATGAATTGTTCCGTATAAATTTCGGACTTTTAACTACTTTTTGACCCCGAGTCGTGCTTCGCTTGTGTTTACCTTCTCGATGCTGGCCGGACGCGTGGCTAGCGGCCGGGCGGCGGCGGCGGGGCGGTGTGGGGCCGCGCGGCGGGCCGCCCCTGCACTGCTGTCAACACGCACCGCGGGCGCAAGCGCACAGCCCTCGGCGCGGACCTCTGCGGACCCTGCGGTCGGCGGAGAAACCCCTCGCTGACTGCGAGACACCCGGCTCTGCGCGCCCGGCCCGGCGGCGGCCACCCCGCGCCACTGGGGCTCTCTTGTTCCGGGTGGGGGTTGGGGGTGGGGGCGCCATTGATTGTGAGGGGAGGGGAGGGGGGGTAGCTTAGGGGTGCAATAGAGGAGCAGGCCTCTTCAGCGTGGGAAGGGGGGGGGGGGTTGGAGGTGGCGGTCCGTCCCACTGTTCTTACCTCACATGACACCTCCTGCTCCTCCTCCTCGCCCTGGTCGCCCTCTGCTGCTCCCTCCTCTCTTCCCCCATCGACCTGTCCTGATTCTCCTCTACTTCTCGTCCGCTCCTAATGCGGCAGTCAGGCCCGGCCAGGGCCGGCCCCCCTAGGGCGCAGCGAGGCGCAGTGAATGCAGACCTCCCCCCCTCCCCCTCTTCCCCCCTCTCCGACCCTCTCCCGCGCCCCCGCTCCGCCCGCACCCCTGCGAGCGAGCCCGGCACCGGCGCAGCAAAGCCGAAGGGAAAAACGAACCCGTCCGTCCGCCTTTACCCTCCGGGTTGTGGAGGGGGGTTGGGGGCGGACCAGCTGACTGAGCGGCGGGCCCGCGCCAGTCGCTCCGGGACGGCCGCCGCTCGCGAACACGCGGCGCCCCGTTGTCCCCACCGCCCGCTCACCAGGCGACGCGCAGCACAGCCGAGCAGCGGCGCGGCGAGCATCGCGTCCCGTAGGATCTCGGCTCCGCGGCCTCGGCCCCCGCTCTCTACGGCCTGCGCTCTCTGGACGCCGTCCCTTTTGGCCTCGGCTCGGCTATCGACGCTCAGCGTCGTCTTCCAGCAGCTCGGCGCGGCGCGTCGCAGCGCGTCACGTGAAGCCGGCTCAGCACACCTCTCCCTCACCATGGCGGCGCCCCCCGGGTGCGGCGAGGTTCGTACCTGAGGAGCGAGCAAGCAGGGCGGGAGCGAGCGAGCGAGCGAGCAGGGCGGGAGCGAGAGAGATAGCGGGCGTGACGTGGTGCCGGCTCAGAACCATCCCTGCTCCACCGTGATGGCGTCATCCGCACTGGAAACGCAAGTGTGTGAATATCGCACACTTGTAGAGGTGTGTGAATATCCATTCGTACATTTAGAGGGGCAAACGTGTGAATTTTTCCTAGAAAACTCACACGTTTACCCACCATAAGTGTACGCAACGGATTTTCGCTCATCCTCATGTGAGCGGACATTCACAACACTTTGCGTTTCCAGTGCGCGGGTGCGGCGATGAGGTGCGTGAGTGCGTACCTTAGGAGCGAGCAAGCGGGGCGGGAGCGAGACAGCGCTCGTCAGTCTGACCACACGAAGGAGCGAGCAAGCGGGGCGGGAGTGAGAGACAGCGCTTGGGAGTCTGTCCACACGAAGGAGCGAGCCAGCGGGGCGGGAGTGAGATAGCAGAGGCAGGGGTAATCACGCACGAGGAAAGAAAACAACCCAGGGCGGCGCCTTCATTGCATGGCATGCCCGGCCCAAGGCAGGGGGAGGGGCGAGGGGAGGCGGGCGAAGCGGCGGTGAGTTCCACGGGTACCAATCTCAACCTTTATTTTTTGTTTTTTTCTACCCCTCGCCAGCCTGGCCGGACTTTATGGGCGCGCGTGATTCTTGCAGAGGGCATCGAGTTTACTGTCGGAAAAAGCAGGGGGAGGGGAGAGAAGAGACGACTGAGAGAAATTCCCGCGTAAAAATCTAAGGCTTGTTTTGGACCCATTCTCGTCGTTTTCCACTAGTCTGATAACGACCAGCATAGTACGAATATACGACGAAGTATCGAGGTATTCCGTCGTATTTCCGTTCCTTTGCCGCCGCACCAGGGTCGTTTAACTGGTAAAATTCCCGACGAGAATGCGACGAGAAAACGACGACCCATGCAGCGCCGGCGCCGCCGGGCACCGCCGTATACTCGTCGTTTATTCGTCGTATTTTGGTAGCGGAAGGGGAAAGAAATAAAACGGTCGGCCGCCGAGAGGCGGGAGGCGGGCTCGAACCGCCGACCACTCAGTCGCGACGCCTAGTCGGTATCCACCTGGCCAGGGAGGACGCCTGCAGGCAGCGCGGCCGGAACCGCATCCTATGCTGACCTGTGCTCTCTCGACACAAACCTCACTCTCAGCGTTCTAGATTTAGACTGGGCCACTATGCACTGCGTC